GTTGTACATAGTTGCAACACTGATCTATGTCCTCACAAAGATTTAACATTTGTTGATATAATGAATGTAATTAAATGAGTTTGGAATTAAATCACACGGTACAATCTAAAATTTCAAACATTTTATGGGAGGGAAAATAAAATAAAATAACGTAAAGAATTATTGTTCAATTTTCATTTTATATTCTTTGTACAATTAAAATCGATAATTTTATTCTAATTGTACATTTGCATAAAACAGGTCTGAAATAATTACTAGGAAAATATGGGTGAGTGAATAATAGCATGCATGCGAGCAGTGTCTGTTACTTAAAAAATTGACTAACATTTTTACGTGTACTTTTTTTCGTTGATCCACAAAAATTTGGCCGTTTCGTATTAAATCGAATTAAATACATACTTGTCTTTTTTTTTTATTACATTACTTTTGCCAAATTTTTGTGGAAAATAATTGTGCACTTAACATTTACATAGGAATAGTGGAGAAATGAAACGGATGAAATCGTAAAACGAGACAATCGATATACGAAAAATCAAACAAGAGCAATTATTTTAATTAATAGTGAAACACTAAACAATTTTTTATTGAATAAATAAAAAGTACACTGTAATATTATGCAAGATAAATAGTGATTTACCATCAATACGCAACTCATTGTTTACTTAACTTAGTCTAACTAATTGTTTATTAGTATGCTTTTTCAGGGATTGTAAAATTTTACTGATAATAGCATTCTTATAGAATGAATTGCATTATTAAAAACTCAAAATTATTCAAAGTTCTTCATTAACAAAAATTTAAGAAAGTTTATTAAAAAATTCTTTAGATGTATTACATGGTAATAGAAAAGTATTTCATATGTTCATTATCATTAAAGAATGAATGATTTCAAAATCAGTCTCTTAAACAATCTAACATTTTTAATAAAAACTTATAGTTAAGAAAAATCATTTACACTTTTTCCTTATACTAATAGTACAGAAAGTATCACTATGATTCTAATTTAAATAACATCCATAAAATCCACTACATTTGTGCATTTGTACAATACATCGCTATTATTATCACTAGCCAACGGTTATAATAATGTTGTAATTATATTATTTTATAATTATACTATGAACGACTCTGCAAAAAATGCAGAGTAGTTGCATGAAACGTGCGGACGTTAGTGTTAATAATTTTTTGTTACACTTGTCACCGTTTGGTACCAATAAGAGAAAAAAGAAACTAAACAGAAAATCATTACTATCAAATTTATTATTATTCTTTACGAAAAAATTAATTAAAAACCACCGAATAATCGATAGTCTCGTTCAACAAGTTGCACGCACGTACATGGGGTAGTAGCTAGTAAGACTGAGTCCGGCTTTCACGTTGCAAGTCGCAGTAGCATGAGTGCAGACGGGGGTCTGTTCGACGTGTGGTTGTTGGTTCTCCGGCTTCTCTTAATACCTCATACTTCAATCCGGGCTCAGTCGATTGGTAATAGGAGTCGATAGGAACGGCTTAACCGTGGTTATCAGTCATATCCTTGTCCACAGAGGGTCGGAATCAAGATCTGGACATCAGCAAAGTCGGGATCAGGGTAATGGACGAATTGGTGAAGCCTCTGAATGAAGTGCAGATCGATGACACGGAGTTCGCTTGTTTGAAAGCCATCGTCTTTTTCGACCCTAGTGAGTACCTCTCGTAATACAGTTTTTTGTTTGCTCAGATGTTTATACGATGTAGTTTTAAAAAATTTACGCAGATGTCGCCCTACTCATTTGAAACGAATCGAGACACGATCAACTGCACTAAAAGAGATGTATTAAATATTTCAGCTTGTAATGATAATAAATAGCTTTCCAATTTTGAAATAATTTCAACTGTCCGAAGGTGCGATGTGGAATATTATTAAGAACATAATTTATGATCGTCTCCTCATTTCTTGATATTCTTTATTGAAAAACGCTAAAACATCTTCGATTTTTTTATTTAGATGACTCAGTGTAATCTAAATCTGATTTGTGTATGTGCTAATCTATATTAAAATATCTGATTATATCCCTTACTTATGGGTAAAAGTACTTTGTCGTTTATTATTGTTCACAATCATTTACTTTCTCATTCCCAATTAAAGCTCCATTTATTATCATTGTTTGTCATTGTCGTCACTATAAATAAATGAAATCTTAACCATACTCAGTAACAAATGAATATTCTACGATTTTCAAATTACCAACAGAACAAATATGTACATCGAAACACACAAAAGTATACTCAAATGCAAACAGACATTTAAATTCCAATATTAAAATATACACATAAGTGGTGTCTAAATTTTTCTAATTTTTTTACAAATGCACGATACATTTGAAACTTAAAAAAATCGTTACCCCTTACAGCAAAATATGCATAAAGACGAGCTAATTAAAAGATCTAATTTTACGTATTTTTGCCAAGTATTGTACATTTTTATATCCCAGAAAAGAAAAACAATCAGACTTTATATTAACCCTAACCTCTTCTATCTGCGGATATTTTCAATCCAAGGACTACCATAATCCTCGATAATATCCCGTTTCACTATGTCAAGCTGAAGACGACATAGAATTTGCGTGTCATTCGGCGAAGATTTGCCGGCACGCGAGAACGATTGTCTCAATGAGATTTAATTGGCGATCGGCGCAGTCACCGCCGCCATGCCGAAACAAATTGCAAACGATCGCAGGCTTGCTCTGCTTTTTGATCTTACCTCCGGCTCGCTTGTGTCATTCGTGTAATTTATTCTGTCGTTTCCCCCTCCTCCACCCTGATGATTCTGTCTTAGAATTATTATTGTTTGATAAAGAACATAGTTACAGTTATATCAGTCTCAGTTCGTATTTCCTTTTTTTTTTCGCGGGAATTTTGTACGAGACAAGATGAAGATTAAATCAGAGAATAGCAATACGTAAATGAAAAATTTGAGACTATGAGTGTAATAGAGATTGGGACAGTAGTTAGAGGATAATTAATTATGTTTAATTTAATTACATTATTAGAAATAGATTGTACTAGATAAAGGTTGTAAGGAAATGTATATTTTCTCTTATTTATTGAGTCTATCTCAATAAATTTTACATGTATTACACGTTGATACGTTTTCATATAATATTCATATTCAATAGGTGCTTACTTAACTATCATTACCTGTTATTTATTAATTTCTGAATACTATCACACACACATATGTATTCCCCATTTTTTTTTTTAATTTTACTCTTAACATTGAACAATTTTGACAACAATATGCACTATACCATTAGGTATTTATAATTATAACACCTGTCACTTTCATTTAAGAAATAAACTAACAGCAATCAATATATTGAACACCCTTGTATTGCTGCATCTAAATATATATCATGAAGTAATATAATTCCACATGCTCAAATAAACTTAATAACTCTACTAAGTCTTGAGATAAAAAATTGATTATATAGGAATACATTAAACATTGATCCAATATTTATTACTTTTTTTCGTTTCATTTTTATTCCAAATTACAACAAACCATTAATCAAACAACTTGTGTAAAACCCAATTTGAATACTGTACAATAATGTAATGTATACTTAATAAGAATGAACAACAAGGTAATGTTCTATTAATCCTACATGTTTTTTTTAGGTTGTTTTAGCTTTTTATTGAATTCTCTTAGTATTTCTTAGTAAAATTAAGTTAAAATTGTGCACATTTTCTCTGTCAACAGATGCAAAGGGCTTAAGTGAACCACAACGAATTAAACAACTACGTTACCAGATCCAAATCAACTTGGAAGATTATATTAGTGATCGACAATACGACAGCCGTGGACGATTTGGTGAAATTCTCCTAACTTTACCAGCTCTACAATCCATCTCCTGGCAGATGATTGAACAAATTCAATTTGTAAGACTTTTTGGAGTTGCACATATTGACACCTTGCTTCAAGAAATGCTCTTGGGTGGTGCTACAGCAGAGATAAATGGTACTGCAACACCAATTCCAATTTCAAATGCCCCTGGCAGTTATGTAAGCAGCAATGAGAGCCCTAGTAGTCCATTGACTCCAGCTAATGCACCTCCATTGAGCCCTCAAGATCACATGCTGACAAGTGGAAGTCCTGTTATGATTTTGAGGGACCTTACACCCATTCAGAACCAAGAAGATGTGACTAGTGTAACTGGATTCAGGATGTTCAAGCAAGAACCCAGTCTTGAGAGTGAATCAACCTTTTAAGGACTTTGATGATGTTAAGGACAGTTGGAAGATCCTTCAGAATTCATTGATTGAGTTATTAATTACTGACACATGGACTTTGCAAGTTTGGAATGCCTATATATAAATTTAAAGATACTAAAGGATTTAAGACATTTTAAGGAGATACATGTAATCTAAAAATGTTTGTGGCTTACTTAAAATTTTGAACTTTTACATGAAGAATATCAAAAACATACATTGAAGATGTAATGCAAAATTCTCAAACCAAAGGAGAAGCAGTTGGACATAATTATCAAGAGACTAGGAAAATTTTTATTTGTGTGTCACAGAAAAATTAGGATCTTCCTCTGCTTGGTTGATTTTTAAATGTTCAAATGAAAGCCAAATATTGGAAATATGTCGAAACAAATTTACAAGTTTCAGAACAGCAGGAAGACTTTGAAGTTACCAAAAATAGTGAGAAATGTCAGAAGATCGTGGAAGATGCCCGTGTTTTTGAACTCGTGAATTTCAAGAGCTTTGCAAGCAGTTTTAAAAACACTTAATGAAACATTAGAACAATATGAAAGACTACTAATTATCATGTAGAAATTCAATTTGCAAGCATTGAACAATTTTTTATATGTTTTTCACAAATTGAAGAATCCTACATGGTCCACATATTGTACAAGATTTCTACTAATGTTTGAAAAATGAAATTATTCAGACACAATTTTTTTTGCTGAATAATTTTAGGACATAGAAGAACTTCTTACAGTGGAAGTGTTTTTTTTTTTTTTTCTTCAAATCTTCGTGATTTAAACAAGTAAAAAGAACTTGTTGAAGATGTTACAGATGGCAAATAACACGGAGGACTGTCTTCAAATATTTTTAAGGATCTCGAAAAGTATAGTAAGATTTTCAATAAAGTATTGAAGATCTTAGGAGATCCCGAAGGAGCAACGAATTCATTAAATTTTCAACTTTGTGACAAGAAACTCAGATTTTTAACAATCTCTAGTGATCTTTTTGAACAAGTTTTTAATGCTAGTGACAATCTCTATTAAATAGAACATTTTTTTATTCAAATGCTACATTTATAAATATATTTGTTATTTTTTAAAGTGGTACAACCTTAAACGATATCCTTCAAAAGTAAGTGTTAGCGAACTTCACATTCAAATTTACTTTACATGATCTTTTTAGTTTAAAGAAATTTGTCAGAGATACAGTAGCATCCTCAGAAATGTTACAGAATTTTCGATCGCTGAGTAAAAGTCACGCTCAATCGATTGCTCAATTAATCCTTAATTATCTTAATCGTAAGATTAAATCAAAATCGGTCGATTAAGTGACAAAATTGCTTTGTTACTGTGAAGTCAACTTAATCACACAATGACATTAATTTCCTTTTCTTTTTTTTTTTCATAATATTTAACAATCGTATTTGATACATCTTATC